TTTTACGGGAGTAATAATTTATGTCACGGTAGTCTTTTCGACCAAAATTATTTTTAAACGTTCGTTCCCTCGTTTGTAATTTTGCGCTAACATGTTGTTTTGTAGATTTATTACAGAGATTCCATTGCCTCCTTGTTGCTTCATAAATTATCTCACAAGTTGATGTAGAATTTTCATCGCTCAGTTAAAAATAAAAACAGACAAACAAAATTAATTATCGTTAATATGACAAACATTAACAGGCGGCAATCATTAATTCGAAGCCGTGAAAACGCATGAAATGTGATTCCGAGATGCAAGACTCAACGAAGAGCATCAAAAGTGGATTGTTATTTTTGCCTGGCATCCATTTAATTACTCTACATAATAGTCACAATTAAGCTCACAACACGACAACCAAATATCTACAGCAGGCGCTCAAAAGACGAGACACGCAGAATCCAGCACGCCGAATTAAATGGCAGATTTATTAAAATTTAAAGCGTTAAAGAAAACTTTCTCTTTCATCGGCGACAGCCCGAATGAATTGACCCAAGCTACGGCGTTTTTTTCGTGTTGTTATTCTTCGTTCGTCTCATTTTTTCAGTTTCCTTTTCTCTCTGCGAACAATTTATCGTTCATTTGCAGCGCCACTGAATAATTCAAGAAAGAGCATCGTAACGCGTCGCCTATCATAATCAGCCGCATTCGTGTTCATGTTGTGTTCGGTTGTCATTCGGCCGTCTCGAGTTTCGAGTTTTCTCTGCAACTTGTTCTTGTCCCAATCTTACATTTTCGGTCGACATAAAATGCAAGATTATTTTTCATTAAGCGTGTTTCCTTCTGCGTGGTCCGTTTGTAACACGATCGCCATTTTTTGTGTGCTGATCACAGAAGTTTCAAAATAATGTGCGTTTTTTGTTGTCGTCTGAAATCACACCACATAAAATTATGAGCGTAATTTTATTTTGCAAGATTATTTATGGAAAAATTATTTAACGCAGACGCATTTTTGCGATGTTTCTTTTCCTTAAACGAAAAATTTGAAATTGGCCAATTTCGGCGACTCTGGCGCGTTGTTGTTGATGATGATGAAGCAAAATGAGTGTAAGAGAAAATGGGAGAAAAAAAATCTGATTAAATTGTTCGAATCAATAGGCCATTAAATGCGGCATGTCATCCGGAATGCGCCATGTGGTTATCTCGTATGCTGTGATTAATTTCCCATTTAATCAATTCAATTGAATTGCTGTGGTGTGTGTGATAGCTCTCTTGTGCCTTCAGTCAATTATGCACGAACGGGCCTGACGTAATGGCTTGCCGTTGATAGCTTATTTATTCAGTTTTATTCCCTCGGCGAAGAGAGCGTAAGAAAGAGAGAACAAGAGACAGAGCAATGCCTTTATTGGAAAAATATGTTGACATAATTCAGAATCCATATCCCAATATTATATATTTATGCTTGTCTATCGTCGATAGACTATCGATCGATTGACGTTTTGCTTGTATTCATTCGTTTAATAATTGTTTTATGATATTGAAAGTCTCTAGACGCTCTTCCGATTGAAAAAAAAAACCGTTTACGCGTTGCGTTTTACCATGATTTCCATATGCCGTTTTTTTTTTTGCTTGCTGCAAAACGAATGCATGCAAACGCAGAAATTACTGTCCGGATGGAAAGACTATGGTAAAAAACCACTTTTCTTTTCTTGCAAATTCGTGCGATCGAATTAAATGTTGAAACTTTCACTGCATATGAACCAACACCGCGTGCGCTCGCGCTCAGTTTCGATTGTTATTTGATCAATCTTTGTGCCGCTGTGTCTGGTTATATTGTTTTTTTTTTTCATTTAAATTTTTGCTATGACCATAACTTTTGCTATGCGAATGTGAAAGAAACCGGCTAAGCGTAATTGATCATTAACTGCCGCTCGATTCGGCATCGGGGAATCCATTCAAATGGAGCAGAAAGAGAAGTATTTCAATTGAACGTCTTGAAAGTGCATTCTTCTTCATTCGGATTTGGATGGAATTTCAATTTTTTTTATAAATTCAAAAGCATTGGATAACAGCGAGGCTGGTCGATTTGCTGACTAATAGTCATTAGATGTTACGATAGTTCGATTGAGACGAAGAGATAATTGCAAGTGAATCGTTTCGCCATTTGGTGACTGCACATTCGGTTGCTTTCGTTGTGTCAATTTCTTTCACATTTGCTATTGCCTCGCTCATTGATGGTGTGTGCGATCTCTTCGAGTTTACGATCACATGAGGCTTTTTTCGTTCGTCTCGTTTGCCGCACATAGCCACGCGGCTCTATCTTCATCGCCGGTAAGCTATTACATCCGACAACTTTCTTGTTATTTCTTTGGCTCTGCCGTTGCATTTCCTATTTGTGTTGCGCAGTCGAACCTTATCTTGGTGTTGATGATGTTTGCGTGACATTTCCTATTTGTGACTGAATCTCGTTTATTTGTCGTACACGTCGTTGCACCCAGTACAAACGGAGAATGACACGAATTCGAATGATATCCACAAGCAAAGGAATTGCTAATTTTTTTTTTTTTTGAAATGTGGCCAATTTAAATGCCGTTGACTCATTTTCAGCAGCTCTGTATTGCTTGCACTTAAATGTCAATTTTTATTCGTCACACGAACACAAACTAATTAGCCATTTACACGTTAAAGTGGTAAACTGAAGAAATTAGACTTACACTGGTGTATGTATTATGAGCCGTTGTTGTTCTTTCTCTGCTTCGTCAGCACAACCGCTAACATTTCAACAATTGATAAATGTGAGCATTGCAATTGATAGTTGTCAAAAAAGGAATAAAATTTTGCAATCGAATCGCTGGAAATGTTAAATTTTCGCGAGTGAATTTGTCCTCTGGCATTTTTGCCATTCGTTTATTTCCTTATTAATAATTATGACTCAGAACGTGTACATAAAATTACTTCGGTCGATTTAATTATATCACGTACAAAGAATATAAATTAGAATTGATATATTTCACATAGCTATGAAGAAAAAAAAAACGGAGCATAAAGCGTATTTGACCATTTGATACAATTTATCCATACAGCAATCGTTGACCATGAATAATATTTTAATTCGCATTAGATTGCTCGGGTATTTTGTCACTTTTCAAAATGAAAATACTCGGCATGTGTATGTGAGTGTGTTGATATTTTTTTTTTCTTTCTCGTCTTGAGCTGGCATAATTGCACCGCACGACTGAATATCTGTTTAAAATATATGTGAACGAAACCTTTCCAACATTTCGAGCTGTGTGCGCATTTCCAACGGTGATTTTGCCGCGGAGGCGTTTTTTTGTACATGAAATTCATCGATCGAACACATTGTGAATGTATCACTGCAAACTGAAATAATTGAGGAAAAATCGATTTTTTTGCCCATGCTTCAATTTGTGATTCGACGAGAACGAATGCCACATTGTCATAAGCCGCGCATACGTCTGAGAATTTCGTGGAGAAAAAAAAACGGTGCATTTTTCGTCAAAAGTTAAAGTTCACATTTCTATGTTTGCTCTTTTCGTTTCTGGCTGCTGCGCAATCGAATGACAACAGTTGCCAAACCGACGAAACAACTAAAGATCAAACCTGGTGCATTCACTTTAAATGTTTCTAGGCGAATAATAATCCAATCGAATTAACCTGAATCATTTCTTTAAATTGGAAGCCTTCTAGCGCCGAAGAGCATTATTATTCACGGTTTGTTTCTATCGACTTTAAGCAAGAAAAAAATCCAATTCGAAAAAAATTTACGCAATATAAGTACGAGCCAAAAGGAAACATATAAATTATTTATAGGCGCTTTGGCAAACGGTGTATGAACCGGCTGCACCGAGTTAAATAGGTTCTACCCAAGAGTCTGACTACGCGAATGTGTAAACACGGCCATGGAGAGAAGAAAAAAATTGTATGAATTGAAGTCGCAACAACCTGGTTACAGTAAAATACACACACACACACACACACACCGAATTATAGCCATAGCAAATGAGATTGAATTGTGCTCTATAAATTATACAACCTGGTAGTGATAGTGACCTTATGCAGCTTACGTAATTTCTCTTTGCTTACATTATTTGTTAGAATCCAAGCATGGTTTGTCAATTGCATCAGTTTTGCCATTAAAATGGCACCAATGGCATTTTGATGGGTGAACTCTTCTTGAGTCTTTGGGCTTTTGGTTTGCATGCTCGTAAAATAGTTCATTTACATTCTCATGTTGCACAATGCGTCTTAACAATGCGTCATTCTTAGACGAATTCTAGGTCGATGAATCATTGTATTTTAATGCACACTTAAAATTCTCAAAGAATACGACCATTTTATAACACCAATAAAATACTTTTTAGTTTCATTTACCTTACCATTGAGACGATTTGTATTCAAAATTCATTCAGATTTAAAAACAACGAACTATTTGCCTCTGAACGTTCAGCAGCAAGCTCGCATTTTTTTTAGTTTCCAATTTAAAACCCGAATTTTACTACCAAAACCAATTAATTGAAGACAAATCAATGTGTTTATGTGTCGTAATAATCGTAAATTGTGCATTACGTCGATGCGGGTGATTTTCGTGTAATACATGAATTGAAATTAAATAAGTTGTTAGTTAAGAAGAGCCGAAATCTAATGTGCTGCAGCTTGTCGATGAGCCAGAAATAATTGTATTCCAAATCCGTTTATTGATTACGATAATGTTTGTATATAAACGATTTACACGCGACTTGCAAGAGCAAATAAACTAAAAACATAAATACAAGTTCGCGAAACACGACACAGCAGCAGCAGCAGCAGCCACTGCGAGAGTATAGCTGAAAGAGTGTAGATAAAAATAAATACACGGTGAAACACCTTCGTGTTCGTCTCCTTCTTCTTCACCTTCTTTGCGTATTTTGTTTTGCGCTTCGTTTCATTCACATTCGGTTGGATTTGCAGTGTGGGTATGGACATGTTAGCGGCCCGTTGTGTCTGCAGTAAGCACGTTCGTTGAAAGTGAATAACCGAGTCAGATCAATTCTGGACGGCGAACGGTAAACACACAGTATTGTGCACGATCAGCGTCGCAGTCGATAAACAGCTGTTTTACGTTACGAGAAAAGTGCACCGCCAGTGAAAATCGTTATATTTACACTTTGGCAAGTCAAAGCGAAGACCATTGTGTGCCTGTGTACATTTTAGATTCCACCGTGTGTAGTGGGAAAATTGTATTTAGTTACATTCGAAATTGCCATCGTTAATTGATAACAGCACACAGCGGCAGCGAATGAGTTGCCGAACAAGATTCGGGTGAATAATTTCCGTTTAACCTGTTACTAAACCGAGAGACCAACGCCGATTAAACGAAGACAAGGAAAAAAAACGACAGCAGACATTAATTATTTTTTAAAGTGCCATTCGTAAACGAACTGTTAATTTTTTTTTTTTTAGTTTTTGAAACAAAAAAGTTACAATCATTATCACGTAGTTTCGTCACAAATTTTTAAAACGATTTACAATTGTGAATTCTGCATCTTTGTTTTTCGAGTGTACGGTGCAACAATAAATCACTTGCAGGAAAAAAAAGATATTATAACAGTAACAGCAGAAAATAAAACAGAGGAAAGGAGATACAAATATAAGGCACACAACGTGAAAAAGCACAATTTAAAGCGAGCGAGAAAAAAAAACACCGCATCGGTAAAACGAACGAAAATCTCTTGGCTTAATATTGGTTTTATTAATGTCAGTAGCATGAAGTTAACAGTGAAACTTGTGTTGTTGGTCACCTTGTTCTGTTTCGGCGTGCATGGAATACCGACGACCGAACCATCGAAAACCGCCATCAAAAATAGCGGTAAGTGCAATTGCAATCTATCACACAAAAATCATCTCTCTCAACTTGTTGAAACTGGCCGATGTGGTTGTACAATTTTGTTTTTTTTTTTATTCGCCCCAATGAGATTGTCAACCGTCGTTGTCTCTTGCTGCCGAACCAACCAACAAAATCCATCAATTAGTGTAATAGTGAAAAAGTGTTTCAAATCTAATCAATGTTAACTGGTCGACAGTTCAAAGTAATTTGCAACAAGTTGACAAACCAAAACAAGCTTTCATTATGTCAATTTGTACCGTGTGTTTTGCACGTTGTGACACACAAAAATTGACTGACTGCCGTCTGACTGGTGGACATGGGCATTGGAAAATGGCCGAGCATTTTTAAATTGTTCGTCGTTGTTGATTGATCAAATCATTTTCATTCAAATGCAATCGACATATTCATAATGGCATTTGAATTGCCTTCGAAATTCAAACAATCCTGTCAACATACAGTTTAATGTGTCAATTTGGCGGAAAAGCCAAAATGGAATGCATTTAAAAGTCAACCACAAATTATGTGTACCAACAACAGCCAAACAGTATGATTGTCATCTCAAAATCTCCGTTTCATGTAGACATAGTTAGTGTTGTTTGCTATAATAAAATCGCGTTTGAATGTGCAGAATAGCTGAAAAATCAATGCGATTCTAAGTGTTTTGAATGTTTATATGTGTTGTTGTTGTTTTTCTTTTGGATTTTGACGAATTGCAACAATTGAACGATCGCGTAATCTAATATTAATAAATTGAACGAATGGAAAATTGTGGCGCAAGTCAATTGTTTGTAAGAGCTAAACCGTGCGCGCACATTGCTCCATACGCATTTTCATTTTGCTTTTTTTCTTGTCTACATTTCGTCTACGCTTCAATTGCTTCTAAACTTTTGAGTAAAAATGTACCAGAAAACATAATCGATATGTAGCGTGTGCTCAATGTTTGCCGTAATTTTCGACGATTGGGCTGAATGCTATTTTATTGAATTCTCTATCGTAATTTTTTGTTATTTCTTTCTTTCTTCGTACCATATTCAATTCGAACCCGCAATTGCTAAACTGCCGCATATTCATTTCAAAATTACGTACAATTACAATTGAACGGCGGTGAAAAACAATAAAACCAATAAAAAAAATTTCTGTAAGCGAACCGAACGAAAAAAACAAAAATATGTGCAGAATTTTAGCTTGGAGTTTTACTGTAATCCCATATATTATTATCTGATTATTGATCCGTTCGTTTGTTGAGCTTTTTGAAAAAAAAAAAAAAGAAATTATCGGCTATTGGTTCAGTGTTTCATTTGGAGAAATGGCTTTTTTATGATTCCATATTTTCCAGAGTCGAAACTAATTGAGGCTCCAAAGCCATTTTTAAGAGCTACAATTGCTTTGTTTCGACACGAAAGCGAAAAGCGTACAAATCCCATACATTCACTCACGGTGTGTGTGTGTTTTCAGCGAAAAATCGCTACTTCGAATACCCTTCTCTCGAACCTTTATCTAAATCAAGGCATTTCAAACAGAATTTCCAGCAGAGAATATACAAGATCCAAGTTGGGGCAAAAGCATACCCAATGATGCAGACAATGTGTGTTGAAATATGAAAAATGCTATCGGATGAATATCAAACACAAAATCGTGGTTAATTAATTTTTATTGTTGATGCTACGGAATCGATACACTCATATACACATACACATTGTTAAAAGTTTGTTCGAAGTCATTGTGGCATTGGGTTGCTGCAATATTCGTTTATTATATTTGCCTCATTGTTGAGGTAATTTCAAGTGAAGACCTTTATGCGCGATCCAATAGGTTTCAATAAACAGTATATCGAAAGTGATGCTTTTTTTTCGATAAAAACAGGCAAGCGATTGGTTTTTTTTTGTTTAGCTTTCAGTTCACTCTGAATCAATAAGAGACAGCTACAGTTCGATTATGGTGAAACATTGTGTTAAAAGTCAACTTGCGTTGATTTCGCGTGGGAAATTGAGGTGTTTTTTATAGGAAGAATGTCGCCAAATTAACGAAAATATCGCGCAAAATGAGCATCACCGAACAAATGAGCGAACGATCGTCTGATTGTTGTTGATTGCAACCAACGGAACATTGTGTTTCGCGTATAAATATGATTAGCCTATAAAAAAAATCCATTTATTCCAATTTAAAGCACAATGACAACATCATTCTTCTGCTGATGTTTGCGGTTTTATTTTCTGCACGAACCAACATCGAAATTGCTTAGTCACGAAGCAATGTCAATATCCATTTTGAATTCCGCCGCAAGAGAACTAAGCAAACACCAAATACCATTAGTTTGATTGAAAAATCTGTCTTCATTGTGTGCAGAGGAAGTTGAATTTACCTTGCCGAAACCGACGTCATTAAGAAAAATGAGTAAATTAATCACAAAGCGCATATATGCGCTGAAGAGTATACTGAAGAGAACACACACACGTACACACATCAGTCGCCAGAAGACCTCTTCCACATGGTGAACATCACACTTCAAGCGTATTGTTTTGATGCTTTAGTTTTGTTCAAAGGTGAAGACCCATTACATGGTTATATGAGTTGAATGGCTTTGGTGTGTGTTTTTTTTTTGTGGAAGGTTCTCTGGCGTCAAGTTTTTTTTTGACTTTGAACGCTTCAAACTACTAATTAATTTTCCCAACGAACGCAAACTGATGAAATCGCACCAACAGGAAAACATCATTTTTCCTAACATACAGAGCATGTACTAACGAACAAATCGAATGGAGAATAAATAAATCAAAAAGAATAGATCATTTGAATGTGAAAAAAAGAAAACATTCGTGTGGAAGTCATTTAATATCGGTTGTTGCCTTCAAAAAGATTCTAAGGCTATAAATCGAAATAACAAAGCGATAATTCAAAATAAGATGTTAGTTTTGTTTTCATGCGAACATGTCTAAAGAGTGATCACTTTTGTATACACATCATGTTGACCCACATATTGCGATAGCGCGTCGAAACGTGCATATCAAAGAAACAACTTACAATTGTTGAGTGTGCACAGCACATACACATGGATGTGTCATTGACGAAACGGTGTATATTCATTTTTTTTCTCTCTAAATTTTCCCATGTTGAGCGCGATGCGATGTGCTACGTGAATGAATGGATCCTCTGTTGAATGAATGAAGCACGGTTGCCCAAAACAAACCGTTTGATATGTAAGCCATGTGGCGCGATGACGAAATCTCACACCGGCACAAACACCATAGTACATCGGAAACAATTAAGTACCTACTTAGTAGTACTCACATACACACACACACACACACACACAGCGCATCCGAGACAAAGGCATAAGACAGAAAAAAAAAGACTGAGGAATAAGTGAACAAGTCATTGATGCTATCTGCATTTATTATATTAACGCTCATCGCACGTAAAATTGCAACCGAGAGTGCAAAGCGTGCGCGACGTGCGATGAGATCAAGTACGGCCAATGTACAGAGCACAAAAAATAGACAAAAAGAAAAGAAAATGCAAAAATATATATTTAAATTTTAAAGCAGAAACAAGCTAAAAACGAAAAATGTATGCAAACCTCGTGCCATATTCATGCCGTTTACGGTTTAATTAAAAGGTCTGTTTCGGTTCTCTTTTTTTTTCTCGTGGTAGTCGGAAGAAACGATGCCAACCGAATCAATAAATTGTACAACCGTCTTGTGTGCTTCTCACCGCAAGCAAGAAAAATGCTTTGCGAGAGAGAAAAAAAAATTGCATCCATAAAAGTGTCATTGATAATTATGATCATTAAAAGTCAATTGAAATACAGTTTGGGGTCATTTTCGTTGTTTATTATATATATATATAAAAACCCACATGTTACTTGTTCGCGCATGCACTTCAAGAATTGGCTGGCGTTCTGAACCGTTTTTGTTTCTCTGTCAGTTTCATGGACTCCCATCAAAAGATAAACGTCTTTTGTTTGCGGCCATTTTTGTGTTTAGCAAGCTGTCACGTATGAATTCGAACAATAGATAAATGTGCACATTGCGTGTGACATCAAAACCTGCAAATTTTCGTGAGAAGCTTTGAATGAGGCGCATTTGAAGCCACCACATTTGCAAAAACCAATTGTTTGCCCCACGCACGCATGATAACTTCAGAGTCTGTGAAACATAGATTAAATTTGGAAAACCAAATGAAAAGGCAAACCAAAAAAAAGACAAGCAAACCGCCACGGTTAAACGCCCGCCCAATTTGAAAGTTCCAGGCAAATTCTTGAACTGCAGCTCGTTAACGCAAAAAAAAAAATTTACCATTTACTATTTGTTTTGCTGCAACAATTTGTTAAGGTTTGTCATGGCAAAGTAGAAAAAAAATAATAAAATGCACGATACTTTTCAGGTGGAAATGATCTAGTGCGCACTCAGTTGGAACATAAATCGTATCCATTCACCAGAATAAATCACCACTTTTTCTCCATTTTTTTTTCTCTCCACAGATTTGAGCAAAACAATTTCATTATTTTCCAAATGTATTTGTCATTGAGTTTAAGCGAAAATCGCATTTAAAATTCACTTTAAATTTCAAACCGAGCCCCGTTCGTTGTTGTGAATGACACATGAACGACAACAAACACGCGCGCGCACAATCATACACAAAAAGGTAAACATATAAAATTATTGCATTGCGTTTATGTTTTCTCCCATAAAGCGAATGCATTTTATGGCCAAACTGATCGCAGGCGATAAAGATCAAAACGGAAAAAATGGCCAATTCATAAATTCTAAAATCAAAACGGCACATCAAAAATGCAATTCACCGACGAGAGAAAAAAAAGGCGTCTCAGCGACAGCACCGTTATTTAAGTGCATGTGAATCGATGCGCGTGCGCTCCAATCGCTTAATGTGTTGATCGGCAGCAAAAATAACACAACGATCATTTGCACAATGTAAAATCAGCGAGACAGTAACCGAAAACATTCGAAAATTAAGCAAATCTTTGT